TTTTCTTCTTCTTCTTTGCAACCCCAAATTTGGGAGCTACTGGATTATGGGATTAAAACCTCTAATTTAGCCCTAGTTGATCAGTAAGCTCCTGTGTACATTTACATGAAATCATAATGTCGATTTATTAGATTTCATGTGAACTGTATTCCACTGGCAAGACACAGTTTGGCGTGTTTTTTCGGAGGCGTGAAGCGACTCTGCCAGCGAGCAGCTTCAGAGAGGCGTGTGTGGGAATCAAGACAGAGGCAGATGAAATCCACACTCCTCTGTAAGCCAAATAAGATGCTTCTGGTTGCGTGGCAGGATTTGTTCTTGCTTTTTATCTTGATGGAATCCCATGAAATGAACGGGCGTGGTAGCACGTTCACTGGTGAACTAGAAAACAATGTTTTTTTGATTGTGTTTCTCTTCTACCTCGGGCATTTATGACATACTGTAACTCCTATTCTTGTACTGTAAATGCGTAGACACGCTGGCATCCAAACCCATGAAGCTCTCCATGCCTGGGGGGACACAATCCATCTGAACAGAAGGGGTTCTATTCTGCCATTCCCTTAGACCCGCTTGTTCGTCAGGCTAATGCATTATGAATTACAGATGAACAATGCTTTGTCAGCCTGTAGTTTACCACGGCTTGTTGGGGGTGATGTCAACTGCAGAAATGTTTGCAGTGCAGAATGCTGCCAGTCTAGCCTGAGGACGAGTGACTTCTAGACAGGCTGTCGTACTTCAGCAGGAGCTCTCTCTACGTTTCACACTCTCGTCCTAAAAGTGATTTGCGTACAGTCACATCTTCTGACGGCAGTATTTCTGCATGTATGTTGTGTAAGTGTAGCTGAGTTCCTGCTGTAGGCTGCTACAAAAGGAACGGTTGGAAAGTAAATTGTCTTGCTGTCGAGGATACATGGAGAGCATGTTGTATGTTATTAAAATAGAGCTTTGTGTTTGTAATTGCAAGACAGACTGTTTTACTCTCGCAACCACGTAAGAAAAGTGACATAAGAGCTAGCTATATCCTATGACTCATGGCAGTAATCATTCGTTCAGGTCGGCGCACCCTCCCACTTGGAAAATTATAGGATGGATTGATCCAAAAGGTCTCATTACCTCCGACTGCACCTGTAGAGAAAGAAGTGGTTTCAGAGTCAGCTTGTGCAGTGAGTCATTATGCATGGAGCGATAAACCTCCAGCCACAGCCTATGCCCCGGAATGTCTGCCATACATGTAGTAATCTATGTAGCATGTAGTAATCTATGTAGCATGTAGTAATCTATGTAGCATGTAGTAATCTATGTAGCATGTAGTAATCTATGTAGCATGTAGTAACAGAGGCATTCTTCAGGCCGGCTGGTAACGTGTGTCAAGCAGGTGTGCGGAAACTAACCTCCTATTTCTCAATAACTTCTTTTCTGGGGATTCATTTGGTTTGCAAGTCAAAGACTATATGTTACGATTTGAGGTAAATATGAGGCATTTGTGTGGGTAATTATGTAATAATGTCTGGTTGTTAGGGATGATTTATCATTTAGGCATTGTTTCTGCAATATGTGCGTCTAGATTTCATTTCTGGAACTTCGTTATATTAAGTTTCCCTCATGCAGTTTTAGTTGTAATTACAGCAGACGATCAGCAGGGGTCACTCTTGGCATTTCTTCTCATTTGATGGTTAAAAGCCTATTTTCTCACTTTTTTTCCATCTATTTCAGGCTATTTAAACACATAGATTTACTATTATAACTACAGGAGCTGTCACTGCATCATTATAGCCGCATGGATAATTATAAAGCCTTATGGTTTCAGGAATAACTCCGTTGCACAGTTACAGTTCTAGAGAGTCGATCACATCTCCCCAGGCACACACAGCTTGAACCCGTCACAAGTCCTAACCCTTACCCAGGCAAGATTCCCATTACACGGTCGTTGCACCAATTTTACACATCAAGATCACCTTATCTGTATTATGTCTTTATTATATCTCGGCCTCTGCTGCATCCATTTTGACCATTATTTTTCCACCAAGTCCCCCAACTTTAAGAAAGTGACACAAAACAACTACAAAGAGACTCAAAATGACCAAAAAGGGGGCAAAACAATCACACATACAAAAAAAGAACTACAAAAAGACCAAAACATTTCCAAAGAGACACACAATGACCACAAAGAGACACAAAACAACAACAACAAGAGTCTAAGCAATGATTAAGTATTGTATATATGTAGGAGAGGTGGGCCTTTAGCGTGCCTGTGCTCAGGGGCCCATTGTGTCATAATGCGCCCATGATCCATGCCCTGAAGATTGTGGACTAAACCCTCATAAACAACAGAGAAGAAGAAAGAAGAAAACATTGTCCTTTTGAGGAATTCCCCCATCCCATTGAGTCTAATAATCAGCTGCATCTTTCAACATGCAAGAACAAAACCCTCTTTACACGTCATAGTCTAGTATGGTAGCCGCTTCGACTTGAACTCTCCATTGACGTCTCATGTATCCGAGGAGCAGTTCTACTTTGTACTACTTTTGTGTCTTTGTGTGGACCAGGAAGTTGCAGACGACAATGTGTTGGTATCAACTGATGATCTTTTCATTTAAAAGTCAAACGTCTCTCTGGTTTCATTAGCACAGATTTATAGCAGTGCTCGGGGGGGAATGGATTAACTGTTAACAATGAATTGAAACTTTGTGTGAACGGGGTTCACTTCACACAGACTGCATTGTCGGTTATTGAGTTTGGGCAGCACAACTGAAGCATTCATGAGCCACAGCTTGAAGCCCCTCAGATGAAGTGGCCATGCAGGCTATAAGGGGCCTTTCAAGGGTTTGTGCATCTATGCTGTATAGGTCTTGTTATTGCCAGTTGCCAGTATGGTCTTCAGAAAAGGGATGAATCTGCAGTATTTTGTCTTGATTCCCCGCATTGGTGGTTTCTCAACACAATAATAATGCAGCCAGACATCCAGCCACATTGTTTTCTCCTGGTGCATCAGTGCAGAGGTGAAAAGAAAAACAGAGAGGCGGTGTTATCTCCGGGCCTCTTTCATTGGCTGCAGAGCGCAGCATTCCTCCTGGCTCTCCGGTGTTCATCAACAGGCAGGGACAGGCTCGGCCCTTTCCTATCTGACAGCAGCACAGTCGAGCAGGTGTTATACAAACAGCAGGCTGATTTATTCACTTTTAACAAGGGGGTGGAAAGCTGGGTAGCTCTGCTGTCTGCCCTTACAGTTTTCCTGAAAATATGCAGTCAAGAAATGTCTCCCTAGAACAACCACCAGATGCACCTTTGTTCACAGGCAGCATAAAATGTGAATATACTCAGTGTTGGCGGGCCAGGATGAAACATGACGGCAATAAATCCAAAAGAAGATGAGGCTTTTATTTCTGAGCAGCTGCTGCGACCTGGCGAGTTAAATCAGACATTTACACATGCTGCTCAGTCTCACCGGGATTACCAGTTCCACCCTTAATGACACATCCACATGTACTTGGTTGTAGTCTTGTTGGAGTGATTCCAACACTTTCAGTTGTGTAGTAATGACAGAGTGTAACTAGCAAATATTAAACAATATGAAAATGTATTTTGGCCACAACAAAAGTTTCTGTGTTGATGTCAGATTTATCTAGAAAACACTGTGATTGTATTTGAATATTCAGCAGGTGTTTGGGAGAGTTTGTTATGTCTTCTTTGCAGCCAGGTGTTGTTGCTGTTTTCTAAAAAATAGTATCCGTGAGAAACTCTCAGCGGATGTGGTGAATCAAACGCAGCAACAAGCGCAAGATCAGCAGCAGTGAATTGCAGTGCCTGTGTGTCAATCACAATCTCTCCCTGCCCCCACTCAACCCTGTCCCGTGTGTGTGTGTGTGTGTGTGTGTGTGTGCGCGTGTGTGCGTGTGTGTGAGAGAGAGAGAGAGAGAGAGAGAGGGCAGTGCCCAAGGCAACAGGGTGCAGACGCAAGCGGCGGACGCGTCATTTGGCTCATTTGCTGCACCTTCTTTCTGAGCAACAGTTTAACAGACTGTTACCGGATAGGGAGCAGCCCTTCCTTAATAAATAAGAGCCTAAAATTATAATCACAAACAGGCAAACAAATCAAATAAACTCTACTTGTTGTAAAACCAGAGGGTTTGTATTCATTTTCTATCTCCAATTTACTGTGGAGACAAATGTATTTGCTGAATGCAATACAATGAAAGAGGACTTCTGGGCAATTTGAGTATTTTGTTTGAATCCGTATTTTAATATATATCATTTATAATACACACAGGGTAACGTTGTTGAGCATAACACTCACCGTAACACCATTATTATACTGTGCGGGTGCCACCCTCTGTGCCTGTGTGACACAATTCAATGTAACGCTGGCATAATGTAATTTTTTGAAACCATCTTTTTCATATATATATATATATATATATATACACATTCTGGGGGTGCAAGTACAATTTGAGTATTTGTACTTCATATGTCTTGATGCAAATTAACAACTTCCTGTTTGCCCAGTCAGAAATGTTCAAAACAAAATGTTAATATTGTTAATGTTAATATTCAATAATGACTCAAATTTGATGAGAGCACCCATCTTTTCCACTCCTCACTGCTATCAGGAGAAACCCCTGTATCTGCCTTTAAAGTGTTCAATCTTATGATCCGTACATGAGGGTGTTTTATTGTGAAAGGCTTAACCGGAAGCTCGTTGATTTTACTCAGTCTTGACAGAGGATCGCGCGCAGGAAACGTTGGTTGGTTAAAGTCCTTCGTGTCTGCTAACCACTCCCTTGAGCTGTCGACAGAGCCACCGTTCAACTGCCGAACGAAACCAAAGTGTGTTTGTTAACTCTGCGTTAAAACGTAATAATATAACTCAATACATTCATCGATACTAGCATCAAAGGTCAAAGTTTCGACGCTCGGAAAACACTTGAAACTTTTCTTTTTTAACTCGGAGCTACCAGGCGGAGACAGCATGGTGTTAAAATCGGAAGACGGTGTAGGTGAGTGAAACCGTCAAAAGAACTACACGTTTCTACAAATATCGTGTTGAATGTCTTTACTTTATGAGAAGTATGAACTGTTGAAATGATGTTTGAAGGTAAAGCTCAGGAGTGAGGAGTCAGAGCTGCTGGGTCGTCTGGCCTTGTTTACAGTGTTTATTAATCTGCCATTTTAAGCGTTCACTAAGTCAACTTTGTACATATTTGATCATCTAAAAAATACTTAAGTTGCATACCCACACAAAAGGAAGTAGCCCACAAGTACGTTATATATTGTCTTTTATAGGGTCAGTCTGCAATAGTAGATAAAGAAAATATACAGATTCATTTTAAAAAACTCACTATATCGAGTTTAAAGAAGGACCCTCCCTATAGGTTAGCTATGCCTCTTTAAGTTTAATTCCTATGAAATAGTTGCCCCAGTTCAGTATTTGTTAGTCTGCTATAAGTAATATCTCTGTGGATTTGAAGTTGATCACTGTGGGTGTTATACCACATGTATAAACACTTTAGCAACACTTGTTATTTCTTGATGCTTTTGCCAGAGAGAGATCATCCTCAGTGTCATCTTTCACTGACTGCTGAGCAATCAGCAACAGGTGTGAGAGCAGACGGCCACTCCTCCAGTGTGTCAGCATGGCATTAAAACACTTGTCACTCATGTTAAAGTTGTATTTATTATCCCGGCCTTCTGCATATGTTATATGTTATTAATTGTATAAAAGGATGTAATTCCTTTTACATGTGGTTATTATACAGAAATAAATGGGTGTGCAGCCTTTTTGAAGTCAGACATAAATCCGTTGTTTTCCTCTCCTTTGGCTCGGTTTTAGCCTGCCAACCAGTAATGAGCCCCCTGAACTTGCGTCAGCATTAATCCCGTTGGAGAACAGTGAACATCTGACTGACTGATCCTGTTATGTGCTGCCGCTCTTCTTGTTCCGAGTGAGAACTTCTACAGACTCTTTGCCTCGGAGGATCCCGGCTGGCACACGGCTGCATTGTGTTCACGGGGATGAACAGTCGATTCTCTACCGGTCCATTTGTCTCTGCCACTTTAGGTTTGGGAAGTTTAAGCAGTTGTCACTAATGGTTCCCTAATGAGGGGCGCTGAGAGCTCTAATGGGCTCCTCCACAACAATGTGCGTTGATGCCCCGGTGGTTTGATAATCGTCTCCCCCTATAATCGTATTTTCGTCGTCTTTCTGCGTTGGTTTGCAGCCCATCTTTCCTCTCAGGCTGGTGATCGCTCCGCACACTAAGCTGCTATAATGCAATTGGACGACATGTTGTGTATTTATTACGTGTTGATGTGAGTCTCGTGTTTGGTAGCTCAGTAACACGCAGTACGCTGCATAGCTGAAATGTTTTAGGGCGGTGATGCCAGTCAGTGAAGGAGGCAGAGAAACAAGATGACAGAGTGATGTTTGGCTCGATGTGGGACTGTACATTCATTATTTATTGTTTTTAAAATGTGTGAAATAATCACCTAGATTACAAGATGTTGTAGTTTCATTAGCAGCTAAAAAAATAATAATGTCATAATAAAGAAAATCAGGAAGGCAAAGTGTAATCAGAAAATATATGTTTTAGTCGACAAGACATTTAAAAAGATCGTTGAATTATTATTCAAGATCTGAGCTTTTTCTGTGACATCAAACTAAATACGTTTTGATTTCTTGTTACTCGGACACAATCTATTTCCCTACTTCACGTTGGCCTCTGGAGCTTGTGTGTTATTCTTTCTGTCTTGCACAGTTTAGCCTGCGGTGAACTGATTTGCGTGACATGCTGGTTTCTTTGCAGCAGGTGTAGACACGCCTGGAGTCATTTTCTTCATGCAGGACAAAACTCTGATCACTCCTGTTGATAAGACCCAGAAATTCAAAATGGCGCAGGAAAGTGATGCAAAACTGACGACACACGTTGCTCCTGATGTGGAAAAGCAGGTTTTTCGTGTTGTTTATCGCATCTCGTGTTGATTTTACAAATATCATGTCATAGGTACTCTTTGTGTTTTCTCTCTTTCTGAAAACGCAAAGAATGCATTGAGAAATATTTGGCGCCATAGAAAGTTTGTCAAAGGGGTGAACAATAGAGTTGTATTGTCATTTGTTTTTTTATTGTGCACGTCTCAGTCGAACATGCATGTCATCACGTTGTGATCGAGCTTGAGGACTAAAGTTATGAAGAAGGAAGAGTTGCTATTTTATCACACTTCCCACAGGATGGGTGGGTTTAGCCACAGCTTTCACTCCTCTGAACCATGAGAACAGCTCACAAACAGGAAGCCCGCAGTCTGACAACATGCTCGACAGGAAATGACATCCCACGGTCCGTGTGTGGGCTAAAATATCTTCACCGCTCGTTCTCTCTGTCTTCAACACAGACACAGAAATACAGAGAAAAACAAGACCTTTCCCATCATGTGTTTTCTGGTGTGTGTGTGTTTTAGTGGCGAGAGAGGATGTTGATATTAAGATAGCCCCGATAAGAATCAAGGCCAGCAACGTTGGAGGACAAAGGCATGCATTGTGGGTAGAAATAGCACTTCCGCTTTTGAGGAACAACATTGAGAAGCCTCCACATCGGCCTATTAAAACAATTAATGTTGATAAACGCCAATAAAACAGAACGGAGATTATTTAAGAAAGCTGCTCTATTGTGTTCATAGTGATGGATTGTGTGTGTGTGTGTGTGTGTGTGTGTGTGTGTGTGTGTGTGTGTGTATGTGTGCGCAGCTGCAGGATGTTTATGCTGTATGTGTTCTTTACAATGAAGCTGTGTGTGTATACGGTCACATCGGCATACGTTCTCCAGCTCGTTCTCTGGTCCCAGCATTCCTGAACACAGCTAGCAGGCTCACTGGGAACTGTTTATGGGATGTTGATGCTCGCTCTCATTTGAATCCCATGACTGGATAGTGTGGCATACACCTGACCCGGCTCGTGTTAATAACACAATACAAGGTTGTTTTTGTGGGACAGACTAAATATGGGACATTTTTTAGTGCAGCGGTTCCCAACCTGAGTTAAAAAGATAAATCTACAGGGTCACAAGATGAGATAAGAGACGAGAAGGAAAACATATCTGTTAGGTTTATTTATTTTTATTTTTATTTCTAATACTGTTTAGCTCTTAACTCTGAATTAGTTTAATTAACCAGTGTGAGAAAGAGAAATCCCCCTTTGGTTGTACTGCTCACAACTCATGTTCACACTGATGCTGAAACCTATATAGAGGGGTAATGAGAAGACATCGCTTCATTTTATCAGCCCAAAAGTGTGGGAGCCACTGGTGAAGTGAATATGTGCTCCATCCATGTTTATTTACATTTTCTACTTGTACTTCACTCTGTGATTTCAAACATTTCCCATTAAAACCTTTAAGAAAGCCAGAGACAACGTGTCTGATTTGGATCTGCAGGGGTTTTAATGTATTTAATTAGATAAATACTGATAATAATGGTGACATCATGACCAAGTGAACACGTTTTCCTGTTTCATCGCATTATGGCCCTTTTTAGAAGTCTAATGCAGGATATAAATCCTCACCGTATTGATTCAGAGGTGCAGAGTGCAGCCGGCACAGCAGAGGGCTCCAGGTTGACTCATACAGACAGACAGACATGAGGCAAGCGCTCACATCTGCTCTGTGATGCAGACGCAGACACACCCGGGGCAAAAGTGTGTGTGTGTACACACACTCAACAAGCCACTCGGGCCACGATGAGTTTGGAATACTGCGATGTTTTGGCACGCATCATTAGCATCGGGATGATGCTCATGCAAATACACGATTGTCTTCAGGACAGATGACATTGTTAAGCTGGATTTCGGAGGTGATGATGACTGGTCGCATGACTGGTCGGGAGAGAGAAGACCTGGCTCAAAGTGCTGACTCATACCAACAGCTCATGACCGCGTCACTGTGGTGACCAGATGAAGAAGAATGAATGAATGATATATATGAGTTACCTGTTTTTAACAACGTTTTCTCTGTTGGGCCTCTGGGTCTTATGATATACCGTATTACCCTCTGAAAACACTGTTTGTTTGTGTACGTTTCTTTTGAGCAGGTTGTTAATCTTGTAATCCTGCAGGAATGAGTCCTAAAACCCGGGACTGAGTCAGCATTTTTGCACCTCTGGTTCCCTCGTCTCAAAGTTCATTTGTGTTTTTTGGATGGATAAATTGATTAAATGCCTGAAATATGGTCTGTGGTTAAAGCAAGTGGCTAAATGAGACTACAAAACGTCATCAGTCCGCCTTCACAGCCTCTTTGTGTTTACACTCATGAGACCGTGGTGTAGTTCTAGTCTAACGTTAGCTTTAGAAGATTGTCTTGCTGAACAAAACGTGTGTCATAAAGTTGTGTTTCTGTGATAACCCAGAATCCAATGGAAAACTCCTGTTGGCTTGTTGTCGAAGGAACAAGTGCGATGCTAACTTCCGGGGTTGGCGTACAAAACGTTGTCATCCCTGCAGCTGCTCTATTAAGGTTGTGTGTAAAACAGCAATATGTTTTGATCAACAAACACAACTCAACATATGTAATCATATACATCGGTTTTGAAAGAAAGTTGTGGTATAGACCTTTTATATTGCCCTCTGTGTGTGTGTGTGTGTGTGTGTGTGTGTGTGTGTGTGTGTGTGTGTGGAGGCAGAGAAAGGAATGACCACTGGGTGGAGCCTCCATGTTAATGGCAGTGACAGCAACATTGAAAGAGTGAGTAGAGAGGAGGGAGGGGAGGGAGGGAGGTAGTGAGTAAGGCTCCTTCCCCAGACGGGCTGTCAGTGTGCTGGGAGCATGCTGGGAGCTGATAGCTGAGCTGTTTCTGTTTCCCTGACCGGAGGAGCCGGCTCCTTCTCTCTGCCGCTGGTCATGTGGATGTCCAGCTCGCCTGCGTTAAGCCACAGGAGCTGACAGAAAAACAGACTGCTGGGTCTTTTATTTTTAATTTTTGAGGTGAGGTGTTTCCTTGTTATATATATATAACAAGGAAGAGTAAGAGAGAAGAGGAGCTCCCTGGAAGGACACACAATTGACATTTTGGAGGATTTCTCTCACAGGTTAGCACTTAGATTTGCTGACGCTCGTGTGTCTTATTTGTTGAATTGACGTTGTTTTCCACAGGTCTGTTTGTGTTAGCTTGTCATCTCTGGTACTTTGCTGTCATGCAGGACTCTGTGTCCCCCCCCCAGCCACACTTTGACAGTATTGAAGATTAAATCAGCGAGGATGAAAAGCAACTAGGATGAGAATCATTTGAAGTGCTAGTGGTCTGACTTGTCGTCTGCTGGGCCGTCTTGTCATTCGGCAGCCTGGTTTGTTGTGTTGTGGTTAAGATGATTGAGTGCTGGTGCAGCAGGCTAACGACTGGGCAGCGTTGTGCTGTCAGTGGGGGTGAGGTGTGTCCGTATGAAGGCATATATTTGTTTGACTCTTCAGGATTGTATGTAAAAGTGCAAACGGAGGTAAACGCTTCACGAGCGGGGCTGCAGAAATCGGACTGCAATTTTACTCGGTGGCACAAAAGCCAGCTGGGATGACCAACGAGTAATGTAACAAGTACAAGCCAAGGATGCTTCAGCCATCAGTCCCCCTGCCTGGGCCCTGTTGAGGAATGTCCTGAGAGGCCAATGCAGACACAAAGGGAAAGCTGTGATCGTCCCACTGTCTCTGTGTTCTCCTGCCACTCGCCGTCCCACGCCTCCCCGGCCAAACACAAGGCTCCTTCTCCCGTTATCTCTCCTCCTACCTCCTACCCTCAGGCCAGGTCAGGTTGGACGCTTTGTGGCTCTTTGCTGCATGTTTTGGGTTTCTGTTTTTGTGTTTGGCAGCAGTGGATCTGAAGGTCAGAGGTGAAGAAGTTCTTAGGCCGGTGCCCTTATTAAAGAAGGCATTCCTTCACAACCTCGTGTTCCACTTTGTTACAAGCTGTGTTTGTGTGTGTGTGTGTGTGTGTGTGTGTGTGTGGGTGTGGGTGTGTGTGTGTGGAGGTGGGTGGGTGGGTGGGGGTGTGTGTGTGTTTTCAAATATATATGAGGGAGAGTCCCCATGGGGTTTACTGTAGTAATGAGATTCAGTCTCAGATCAGAGATCAGCGGATGAGACGTTCACGTTTTAAATCACCCTTTGTTGTTCAAGCAGCAGGAAAGATCAGAAAGCTTAGGGCCATTTTAATAGACCTTAGTGTGTGTGTGTTTGCCCATACCAGCTCACATAATCTTAGGCTCGGGGTCGATTGATCGGAGCCTACAGAGACCTTCAGGGTGCATTTTGCAGTTTGAAAAAGGGAACTATCCATGAAACCGTAATGACAAAAGCTGCACGGCAGCAACAACAGCCTTAAGGAACAGGAGGAGGGCTGGACGAAGCTGCTAAGATTGGCTAGAAACTGGAAGAGAGGCGAGTATAAAGGAGAAGATCGGGGAGGGATGATAGAAGATGAAGAGTAAGGGTAATCAGGCCGAATGTTAAGTGTGAGGAACAGATCAAAATATACTTATGCACAGACACACAGACACGTGGCTGCAGAAATGGATGTGCATCTTTTTGCATATTCACTCAGTCAGCAGATCATAGGCAGCGTTGTAGCATAATAAATGCATTGATGTCTCCATCTGGTCCAGTAGATGTAGAGATAATAGACCCAGCGTCACGTTAAACATTAAGTCCACCTAAATGTGTATCTTGGGACCCTGTCCAGCAGTTGTGTCAGCGGCAGCCTATAGGTGAGGAGCTTATTTAGTTAATATGTTTTTTGGAGGAGCTCCCTAAATTGGGTCACATCTGCAGGGAGGGTGGGGGGAGGGCTGAGAGATCCTAAGCACTCAAGAATTCTAATTTCCTTATTTTCCAAGGAGAGTTCCTCAGTGATCTGGGTGGAAATGAGACGTCTGTCCCTTCTGCCAGGACGGCAATCAGGATGTGTATTAGTGGGCTGTGCCGCTGTGGGAGAGGGAGCTATAATTGGTATCTCCCTCGATGTCTCCTCCCCTGTGCTCTCCGCTGACCCAGCCCTCACTAGAAACTACTTCATCTAGGAACTCTGCAGACTCTCTGAAAAGCAAAAGATAAGGACACATGGTGTCAAAATGTAAAACAATTGTAGGATAAAAGGCTCAAATGAAGCATCGCGGTGAGTGTAAAATGTTAAATGCACAAATGTTTTGTAAGAACGGAAAGGGATGTGCCAATTCAAGAGCTGTACTGGCTATACTCAAAGGGAAAGTATCGAGTGTTTCGAGTCATAAATTTAGGTAAAACAGCACTTGGTAGTAATGAGGTCCAGGCCAGAGATCAGGTTACACTGTCCCAGATTTGGCACTTGTCCTGCCTTGCTCCCCGATACTTACTTCGGTTGATCCTCTCTCTATATTTCAAACATTTTTGCAAGAATGTAACGGATTCAGTCTGAATATCACAATCTGGACAGTTCCAGTCAGACAGTGTTAGCGTTTGAAAGCTGAAACAAAAAGCAAGTTGCTGAGCGCTGACACAGCACCAGGCACGATGGGAGACGCACTGTGTCGGCCCTGGGCGTCAGTGTGTGTGTGTGGGTGTTAAGCATGTGTGCGTACTTGCGTGCACGTCGCGTGGAGGTCTATGTGCACGACTGCACGCCTCCGTCTGCTTTCCGGGCATAGCGAGTCCCTGAAGGAGTGAAGATGTGGGCGCCCGGTGTTTCTCTGTCAGCCTGTGGAAATCACTACATTCATCGCTGTAGGGCCCCTCTGCTTCTGAAAGGCCCCTAAAGTCAGATATCGACAGGGCAGAAGAGGAGTGGTACATGTTGTGAAAAACAACACTTCCTCTCATATAATTTGCTCTTCAGACTCGTATCACTGCATCAGCAAGAGATGGGTGTTGTTATTTGGATGGATTCTATTATTAAGGTGTCAGTACATCTGACAAGCCTTTAATTAGGATAATTAGCTTTCACCACAGAAACAGATTCTCTCCATCTCTCTTTCTCGACCTTATTTACCCCGTCCGTCTCGTGTTTTTGTCATTTCCTGTCTGTTTTCTGATGACGGCCTCTTTTCGTCGGCCTTACCGGTGCAGTAGTTTGCCGAATGATGGCCAAGCAGCTCTGCCAGACGGAAGAGAAACGAGCAGCGCTCAGCATTTACTTAAGCGGATGGGTTCTCCCCTCATCTGCTGTGTTCTGGGAAATGACACCCACTTGGTGCCCACCTCTGGCACGTGCGTTGGCGGGGCCTCTCCCTTCCCTGATGTAGTCTTGATTATTCCGGGTGGAATTGGGAAGGCAGTGGTGTGTGTGTGTGTGTGTGTGTACGTGTACCTGACCGGCTTCTCGAGTAGATCTGATCGTGTGGGTAACAACAGATGACGTGTGCGGTGGCCGGGTAGAAAATCTGGCCCTTTAATCCCGGGACCGGTGGGTTGTGTCTCCGGCTGTCTTCTTTTGGCTCCTTTCAGCATCCGTTAGCCGCCCGACCTGACATCACATTTCCAGAAAGAGGAGTGAACTTCCTGTGTTAAGCTCATCCTCCCCGTTGCTCTGGTTTGTGCCGTTGAACTCGCAGCCCGCTCTGGGTTCACTCAGCGTGACATTAACTCGCCCAGTCGATCTGGAGACGGGCTCATTAAATGCTAGCAGAACACATATTCTCAAACCTGTCTGCACTGTGTTTTGTGTGTGTGCATCTCGGTCTTTATGTAGTCTGGAAAACAACATGGCTTTGTATTGCAGCTCCCTAACGGCCCGCTGTAAGGCTCTTGTGTCGCTCTTCTATTGTCCGTTATCCCCGTGGTAAATATTAGCCGACATTGCAGTGACTGTCGTGGGTATTTGCCTCATGATGTTGAGGTTGGCATACCTTCTTTTATTACAATAAGCGCTCTCCATTATGCAGCACATGTTTTCTTTTTCGAGGATATCATTTATTCCGGATTTTACGCTTGGATAAAATCTTTACGGTCACATTGAATGAGCTGAACTTGCGTTTCGCTAATTGTGAAGTTATGAATGTTCATGTGTGTTTGTAGGCACAATGAAGCTCTTACTCTCCGGGTGGCTGGCCTTCCTTTTGCTTTATTGATTGCTGTGTTAGATTTAGTTTAGTTTTTGTAACCTTCATTCCGCTGACCTCTTACTGCAGGTACACTGCGCCACATTTAGTCTGGAATTTTTTGCTGTTTTGTTAGGATTATGTCGGACCAATATTTAATTAATGTTTTTATATGGGAGAGTAAAGAAAAAGTCTGAGGGAGAGGTTTTTTTCCGGGTCATTGTTGGTATCATAGAGTTGTGAAATGAGTAATATAATACCTTGTGTTCCATCTCTCTATAACCATTACCCAGCTAACCGTTGGCAGAGTCAACCCTCGTCTCCTTTAACCCTTTGAACCCTGCTGCTGAGGCAATGAGGGGAGGAGAGGAGGTGGCTTGTGATTGGCCACTGGGGGAATCAGAGAAACAGTCACTGAGTGATTTTACCTACATGACCGCTGGGACTCGAGCAGCTCATGGCGCTGTCGGGGTTCGCTGGGTTTAATTGCGACTCATGCTAAATATCTCTAGTTTTGTGATGCTGCAACAGTTTTTCAATGCGAGCGTCCTCCAAACAACGCTTTGCAGCAGTTATTTTGCTGCAGAAAGGCCAAATGGTTGGATTGTCACACCTCAGAGGACACAGGCTTTCACTTTATTTCACAGGAGAATTAATCATTCACTAAAACAGATCATTGTTGTTGCACATTGGATCATGCATTTTTTTTTTTGTTTACAACAAGCGCAAACCCGTTTTTGGAAACGCTAAGAGAATGAAATCCCTTCCCTCCAGTCATTTCAAACGTTTTTATAGAAGCATAGAAAGTTGTATTTTAGCTGTATCCTCTCAAAGATTTTGACTCAAGCAAGCAATTATTGCCTTATTTAAAGGGTAATTACAAGTAATTCTGATGCAAGAATAACTATGTTTTAAAATAGAGACTGATTCAGAAATAAGATGCCGAAAGAGTAAAGGCAAACTGCCTCCAGAGCAGATTGTGCTGCTTGTGTTGATACTAGTGGTGTCCCGCCATGCTTGTAGTGCAGGTAAGGCTTGCACACACACAAACTAATTGTCCATCAGGCAGGACATGTTGCGCTGCCCCTGAGTCCTCGGCACAGAGCTAATTATAGCGGCCTATAGTGTGAGCGACGGGAGGACTTTTGTCACATTTGTGCTACTCGGGCATCGATGCTCAGCGCCGCCCGGCTGACCCGAGCCGTTTCATTTAGTCGGACAGATTACACACGAAAGTGAAGTCCTCTTCAAAGTGCTCCTGTCTGCTGCACACTTGGTTTCCTTCTGGTGTAGATGTTTCATATATATATATACATACATACACACACACACACACACATATATATATATATATATATATATATATATATATATATATATATATATATATATACATATATCTCTGTATATATCTGCTGAGCCCCTTGCCGTGGGCATTCAATCCCTTTCTGATATCAAGGGGGAATTATGATGTTATTTCTGTGCACTGAGATGCCCGGAGGGACACGCCTCAGGGGATAGATATGCATAGAGAAGGATTAAGGTGCATTATGTATTTTGGGCGACTAACTCTTCATCCTCTCTCTCTCTCTCTCTCTCTCTCATCTCTCCCCCCCAGTGCCGGACGACCTCACCCCAGAGGAGAAGCAGGAGCTGGAGAATATCCGCCGGCGCAAGCAGGAGCTGATGGAGGACATTCAGGTAATAATGGAACAGGATGCGGGGGCTGTTTGTATGTACATAGCTTATGACACAGAAGAAAAAAAGACCTCCATGTGTTGACTTCTTAAGCGTACTTACTGCAATGCATTTCAGTTACTTTGAGTGGCTGTAAAAGCTTGTATATTTTATGGAAACTATGCTAATTGACACTTTATAGGCTCAAGGGGCAAAAGAATCTTCATTTTTATTATTATTATTTGGCTCACTTCCAGTAACTTCAGCTAAAAGTACAACTTGTTAAATATATAAATACCTCTTATCCATCTGTACAAATGTCTCTTTTACAAGAAGCACTTAAAATATTTCACCCCGAGTGGAATGTGAGGTATTTCCTGCCAAAAAGCTTGCTTTAGCAAACCATTGCTGGTAACTGTTGAGCCATTTGTGTTTTTGTAGATGTTCTGTGTCTCTTACGGGTGTTTTTATTGAAATGTGGTGTTTGAATATAACTCGAGTCTAAAATGAATACGATAAGCATACAGCTAAAATAGGATTAAGCTCTTTATGAGGAACGTGCTCACGCAGCCAGCTGAATATCCCTCGTGTACTCTCTGATTTCCAAAGAAAGCCAGGATTCAAATCAGCTTGGCTGAATTTCCCTAAAGTGGTTTGTTTGATTCCTGTCCGTGGCTCGTGGTCATTTTTTTTGGGCTGTTGCCTTGACCCGAGAGCAGAGCTGATTATTGAAGCGAGCTGCTCAGGTTCAGTTCTGTCACTCAATAACCAGCTCGGTAAGCAAACAACACACAACTGTCCTGCCCCAGAAGAGAGTTGGCTTCCAGATGTCCCAGTAGACTGACAGACAAACATCAGAGGCATGATCACCTTCTCTTTTATGAGCCTGACCCACCATCGCTGCCCTTCCCCCCCACCTCTTCGGCCACCACCGCTGCCCCCGGTCCATGGTCCCCCCCCCCACCTCAGCCACCCACTCCCCCACATGAACACGGCCTTTTGTTTGCGGAGGCAAGCATCTGAGGAATGTGTTGTGATTGCGCAGGGCCTTCTTGAAAACACAGGCGTTCACTTTGTGGTTTGGCCCAAAGTGAGTTGGTATTATGCGTGAGGAATTATAAACTAACACTGCAGCTGGATATGAATGGAGACACGCGATGATTGTAGCCTTTTTACTTGAAGAGCTGCCGCCTCACATGACCAATAATAAGCTCCGTCTGTACACAGGACTTCTTTTGTGCCGTTATTCCTCACTGTCATCACGCTGACGTCAGCCTCTCGATCCTCTAGCCGCCGCAATGCACTGCGCCAGTCTGGCACCAGCGGTCCCGGCTCGATCAGCTAAATCTGCCTCTAAGGCCATTAATCACTAAAACGCTTCACAAAAATATAATCCACTTTTACGCTTTCTTCTTACTCCATTTGTATTGAGGTTATCCATGAATGTTCTCTGCCTAATCGAATTCAGGATGAGAGGATTGTTTCAAGAGAACATGCATACGGAAACACGTTGATGTAGATAAAGACAGCTGCTGTCTGTTTTTAGTTGTGCAGCGGTGTGTGTGTGAAGTTTCAGCCCATCGGAAGTGACTCTGCTCTCCGTGTTGAGCCGACGGTTCCGTTGTGAGTGTTTGCTGGACGTGATAAAAGGCCACCTGGCTTATAGACAAATAAAGGTGATTCAGAGATGATGGCCTCTCCCTCGGCACGCTTTAATAGAGCAACGCAAAATGCTTTGCATGTTGTTTTGTGTCGGGTCACGCACGCCCCCACGCCTCTTGGTGACAGGGAAATTAGCAGGCCGATGATGAATTCCTTCTCTTGACATTTTAACACCAACGTTTATGTCTTTTCTGCAGCGGCTGAAGGATGAGATCGCAGAAGTGACGAGTGAGATCGAGAACTTGGGATCCACTGAGGAGAGGTAAGGAAAAAGGGATCTGACGCCGCCCCCCCTCCTCCCTAAAGACACACATGTCCCTCTCTGTTTTGCCTAAATTGGCTTCCTAAGTTTGCCTTCTATTAACTTAGCAAATTAAACTGTCAATTATTCATGTTTGATGGGCAGGTCCGGCTCTCCCATCCCACTGAAAAACGCTTCCCAAATTGGCTCTGCTTTTAAGGCAGTTTTAAATGTTTCATCAGGCACACCCACCATGATGGGAGGCCTCAGTGAATAATGCAGTGGGTGTACGGGCAAAGGCAGACAATGCACGGTCCCCGGGGGGGGGGAGGGAGGGCTGATGTTTGGTCTACTCAAGTGGATAAGGGATCCCATCAGCTGCCGAATAATCTTTCTTGGATCTAAAAAGCCCATTAAGAGGTCGCAGCACCTTCTTGTGATCAGAGCTCCCTTCCATCCAGCTCGTGCTGCTGTCGAGTGTTGGTTTTGGTGGACGAGAGCCGAGAGGAATGTTGGCTGCGAGTGAATCAGCGGTGACCTCTCACCATGGTGACGGCGGACTCTTTTGAGTGAACTTTGACCCCCTGCATAACTTGAGTCCTGAGAAATGAGACGTTCCCATATGCGTGATGTTAATATGCTTAATCAACGCTTTGTCGTCAATGTGGAGGGGGGGGGGGGGGGGGGGCCGGCCACTCCCCAACAAAAAAAAATGTTAATAGTAACTGTCAGGAAATGAATGAAAATTAATGAAATAAAATCTAAATATTCAGTTTGTCAGACTAAAGAAGCAATTTAAAGACATTACCTTGATTTCGGGTAGTTGAAAATGGTATTTATTGTACAGTTATATAACATTTTATCGACCAAATGCTTAAAAAAAAGTCAGATTAATCAATAAAGAAACAGCTCTTTTGTTCATGTACAACATTATTTTCACATTAAGAACAACCAACAACCATCTACTCCCTTATGTTTCAGGAAAAACATGCAGAGAAATAAACAGGTGGCCATGGGGCGCAAGAAATTTAACATGGACCCCAAAAAGGTAGGTGGAAGACACTGATTCTTCAGAAACGGTCATTTGTCCCACATGTTCTCTGAAGCAGGAAGTAACCCGGGGCCCCGTCTCTCTCTTTAGGGGATCCAGTTCCTGATCGAGAACGACTTGCTGAAGAATACCAGCGACGACATCGCTCAATTCCTCTACAAGGGCGAGGGCCTCAACAAAACGGCCATCGGGGATTACCTCGGAGAGAGGTCAGGATGAAGACTTTTCCCTCTTATCGAACCGTCATGACTCACCAGCACACATCCATGTGCTTGATAAAAGCACGGCGTAGCGAGTGCATATTTTCCGTATTGCCGTTTCCTCTCGGTTAGGCACACGCCCATCCTTTTCGGATTATTGGTCCCACGTTTAGAGCGTTCTCTCGGGACGATGTCCGTTACTCAACAGCCTCCATCTGTCTTTGATTATCTTACTCATTCTCATTCATAAGATCAAGAGACTCACTACTCGGGAATGTACGCGTTTGAGGGCAGTTACAGATTTCACTCGAGAGCTGAGACCGTCCTCGGCACGGCCAACGCATAACACAGGAAATGGTGTTAGGCCTGATGTACATTACGCACTGCTCAGGGACTACAGTCAGGGTGTGGTCTTTGAGGTCAAACCAGGAAATGGAGTTCGGGCCGTTGATGGATGCTCCTCGTTTCATTGTTATCTAGCTCTCCAAGTGTTCTTGATTCCGTAAGGAGGTGCCGGAGCAGCAGCGCGAGAGCCTTGAGACGCGATTGGTCACTCGTCCACTGGGAACGCTGGTGACTGGATACGACTCTGTCAGCGAGAGCCCCTCAGAGCCTCCACATGGTCCCACAGGGCAGATCATTTACTGTGAAGGCCGGGAATGATGTCATGATTGAGATTAGAGGGTAAATTAAAGGGAGGTGGTGGCTGTTTGATGGGAGTACGCAGCGTGTCACAGACCTCGGTCCTCAGACACGCTCCTGATGGGGACTACTTTTCAAATGAGGCAGTGATCAAACTTTTAGGAAGAGCTTCTAAATGAGCATGGTTTAGTTTTGGCCTTCCTCAGCATCCGCCAAATAAATCCTTAAAATCCACTTTTATAGATTTCATTGGAGGTTATGATCTTTTTTGAGCTTCAACACTTGGACAACTAATCCATCAACAAAAATGTATTTATTATTAACACTTTTTAATGGATTGAATAATGATTTTAAAGGGGAACTCTCCCGATTTTACGCCTTTTAGTGTGTTTACATGTCTTGGGGAGTATAACTACATGTATTTTTTAACTGTCCCTCGTGAGTCTACGTTATCGGAGTGCAGTGCTAAATTGGTGATCCTGTCTTCTCATTGTGAGGATTCTGCTGCTTTTCTTTGTCTTGTATGATGAGGCAGTTGAGATTTTTTTGGTTTTGAACTGGGGTCGGACAAAACTAGAAATTAATTTTGGTCATTTTGTGCTTGTGATGGACATTATTGACAATTTTCTGACATTTTGTAGAACAAATAATTGTTTGAAATGCTTACCAATAAGCCATGTTGCCATGTTTTGTCTCCTGCAGAGATGACTTCAATCTCGAAGTCCTTCATGCCTTTGTGGAGCTTCATGAGTTCACAGACCTCAACCTGGTTCAGGCCCTAAGGTAAGACAGCATCTCCCCAGGACCTAGCATCTTCAGGTCTCACCCAAGTCCTTGACTAGATCCTCTGAGCTTTGCCCCGCCCTCTTTTTATGTCAATCATGTGTGATACAGTCTCCTGAAGATGCAGCTGTCAGTTTCAGTCATTCAGCCTTTTCATCGTGGACGTGAGTCTGTTGCTGACTAATGACCGGTGTCCCCTGACAGACAGTTCCTGTGGAGTTTTCGGCTACCGGGAGAAGCTCAGAAGATCGACCGAATGATGGAGTCCTTCGCTCAGCGCTACTGCCGGTGCAACCCTGGCGTTTTCCAGTCCACAGGTAGCGCCGTCACGCCATAAAAAGCCCAAAAGCTGTGAATGTGTGCGCAGTGAAACAAAGGACAAACTCACTTCCGTTTGTCTTCTGTCTTAATAGTTGGTTGATAAAGTCTGAAGTATAGCTAATAACTAGTTGTAACTCTCTGTTGGACTCCCTGGAGCACTTAGTTTTCCATATCGCACCGAGGTCTAATGGCGCGCTGAAGGAAATGGCATCTCAACTGCTTTGTTTAGCAGACGGAAAGTCTGCTGATGTGAACCGTGCTCTGGAAGGGTGTCTGGCTTTTGGGAAACAATGCCCACAGCAGACAGCCGCCTGCCTCTAACATGGATGCAGATGGATGTGAATAATGCATGGGGTCTTCTCAACAGCCTAACGGGCCAGATAAAGTGCTGCTGCGTCAGCCGCGTGCTGGCCACGCCGTCTTTTAGCAAACACACACACGCACACACAGATCAAAGTGCTTATCCAGAAACACACACGCATACTTAGCTGCCCACTCGCAGCCATTCACTCCCACCCACCCACTCTCCTCGCTAACGAAGCCTCGCCGATCTGTTCCTCTCTGTTTGACTGTGGTCCCCTAAGTGCAGTCCTTTCAGCTCGGCTCATTTACATTCATATTTAAACACTGAATTAAACACTGGCAGAAGTTTTATGGTAAACAGCAACTATTTCCTCATCCCTCTCGTGTGTGTGTGTGTGATCTCGTTTGTGTGTGTGTGTTACAGACACCTGTTACATCCTCTCGTTTGCCATCATCATGCTGAACACCAGCCTCCACAACCCGAATGTGAAGGACAAGCCTTCTGTGGAACGATTCATCTCCATGAACAGAGGAATCAACGATGGAGGAGACTTACCCGAGGACCTGCTCAGGGTCAGTACGGCATTAAAACTCAAGTTATTCCTCTCCTCGTGAGGGATTTCTCCTCAAACCTGCTCTGGATTCACAGTCAACTATTTTTATTTTTTTTGTTGTAGAATCTGTACGACAGCATCAAGAATGAACCTTTCAAAATCCCCGAGGACGACGGCAACGACCTCACACACACCTTCTTCAACCCAGACAGAGAGGGCTGGCTGCTAAAACTGGGTGAGTGGGGAGTGGGGGGGGGGGGGAGATACATGAACACAGTTATTTGGGCTCATGGTGATCTTCCCAAAAATAATGGTGCTCTCATCAGTGCTGATAGATTACCTCGTGTTGTGTTTTCACAGCAGCACATATTGGTAAATGATCTCAAGGCGGCACAAAGTGAGGTCAATAACCTGTGTGTGTGTATGTGTGTGGATAGGTTTGTACACACTCCACTCGAGACATCTGAAGACATCTCTGCCAGCTTTCATGTATTATGAATGTTGCCATGAGACATGTGGAGGCCTTTGAAATATTTATGACGGAGCATATTCATACTCTGACATGCAAGCACGCGCACAAATACTGACTTTAGTAGCTTTTGTAAATAAAGTGTATGCACACACACAAACACAATGCACATACACATCAGTTTGATCCTGATTTTAATAGAGATGTGAAACTCCCAGCAGGCCTTGGACTTTTTTAACAACAAAGGAGTTGTCTTAGTGTTAAAAATACATTTTTAGCAGTGTTTCTTGACGTTTTAAGGGCCTTTTTGTCCTGACCTTTTACTAAATTCTGACTTTAACATATGTTCCGGCACACACACACACACGTACCTGTATCGTTACAAGTGTTTCACAGGACGTCAGCTGTTACTCTCACTGGTCACGCAATCGCTCTACAAGCAGAAAAGCGCAACCCTGGTCCCCTGAACTCTTCATCCTCTTGTTTCCTCTGAGATCTCTCTCTGTTGTACAGATTCACAATGAATTTAATAAAAACGAAAAAGCCTGAATGTTAGAAGTATAATTGAGTCTTCCAATCACTGTGAATCTTTCCAACAAACTACACCAAGAAAGGGAAGAATGACTCTCTCTCCAATGACTCCACGTTGGCAGATTTGAGTAACACAATCAGGGTGGAAGGTAAATTACTGGATGCAACAGAAATGGACTGAAGTGGAGGCGATATTTCATGTAGTGCTTTACAGTGACAATGAGTAGAACTCCCCCATGTGGGCTGGTGTAATAACAGCAGGTGGAAAACCTGTTCACCCTCATTGCAAAAATCCAGAAAATGAAAGCTGTAAAGCAGTGCATCAAAGCCTCCCTGGAACCAGATTAACAGGACTGTGGTGCAATAATTATCATTTAATTTTAATTTTTTTTGTTTTCTTTTCCTCTTCGTTTGTTTGTTCCCATGATTTTGGCTGTTGTCTTTCCTCAGGAGGTATGTACACCTGCTCTTCCCAAACGCTAGTCCATCTCTCAGCTCTCGGGTGCTTTTGGTGGTCCGCCATGCTTTTGTTCTCTTCCTCATTTTTTTTATACGTTCACGCAGGTTGTTTTGTCTGTAGATTTTTTTTTATTTTGCGTCTCTCCATTGACTCATTTGAACTCCAGATGTTTGTCTGTTCAGTCTGTCATTGAGCTGGTGGTTCGTCCACTCTCTTTTATCTCTGTGGGCTCGGGGGAGCCGACGCTTTGTGACCGCTCCACTGAGCAGTTTGACCTTTTTTTTCCTCTCTATGCTGCGGTGGTCATTCTCTTTGATCTTGTTTTTTTTTTTTTTTTGGAAGCTGCATTATACCATTTTTCCATACAGAGAACACAACAAAGGGACTGTTTGCTTGACTCTCCAAATTTATCATGAACCCATTTACCGATTGGCTACTTGTTGTTTGCTCTCTGGTCGCATGGAAAGGGAATACTGCACCTTTTCCACAGCGTGGCTCTGCTCTCCTTATCTGATGCTGTAAATGGATCTGAAGGGTAACGGTGTGGTGCTGGACCGGACTGTGGGAGAGAAGCGTGGGCAGAGGAGTGTGCCCAAAGGGACTCAGGGCTGGTTTAACAAACAAAAAGAGAATCTGTTTATAATTCATCCTGTTGAGGTAAATCATTTACAAAAAGGACTCATAAACTATCAACAACTAGATATGACTTGTTCCCTCTGAACCTCTACTTGCCCAGCCTCCCACACAGTCCCGTCTTGCATGGGCGACCCTCCCCCCTCCCGCTCAGCTCCACTCCGGCCCAGCACCGTCCCACACATCTCTGCAACAATCCGCTGGGACGTCCCGCCTCGTCCCAGACATTCTTGCACGGGGAGGAGGTCCCCCCTCTCTCTTTTTTTTTTTTTTTTCTTGGGAGTGACGGGAACACACGTTGACCACGAAACCGCTCGCACAACCTCCAAAACAACCCAATCGACTCTCGAGCCAGTCAGCTGTGTGATTCTGCCATCGCGTCTCATGTTTTCTGTTTGTCTGCTTCTCTGTTGCAACACACTGACGGGTGGAGATGGCGAGAGGGGCTTCTCCACCTCTGCCCGTCGAGTGAAGCGTGTGTCGATGGCGTCTGTAGATTATAACAAGCGTAGGCTGAAGTGTTTGACCTATCATGGCATCTTGTGATATGATGGCATATCATATACAGTGCTACCGCTGTTATATGATAATACACGTGTGTTCTACATGTCTGTATATAAACCTCCTCACAGCCTCCTCTATCCCGGTAGATGGGTTTCACGTAGCTTCTTTCTATCACTGGTGGTGGGATAGTCTAGACAAGGCTTAGGTCTGTGTGTCATGGTCTCACTGGACACTGCTCCTATATGAACGAGAAGTTACTTAACGAAGCCAAAACAGGAAATTCAAGTCTGAGATGCCTGTAGAGAATCCCAGCATAGCTCCAGGCGCTGGGCTTCTTGCCGCTCTTCATTTGGTTGGCATCCCATCTTCCCAGCGTGCGAGGGGCCATCTGCTACTGTGATCGGGTTTCCCCTCACAGGAAGTATGGGTGACAAAGGGGGGTCAGAGGTCAGCTACAGACCAGCGGGGTACAAAGTTAACCAGAGAGCCCCCCCCCCCCACTGGGCCTGAAAGAGAACTTTAATCCTGTTTACTTTCCACATTCACCCCTCTTATAGTCATTGGAGGGCTTAAACTAAACCAAAGAGAGTAACTAGAAGAGAGGTATACATGTGTCTATGTATATAATCCTCCTACATAGATATGTATACCATCTATCGATCCTTCTGAGTCAGCAACTAAAGGAAAGAGAATCATGGATCAAGTGAGCAGACATTCATAGACACACACAGCTGTATTGTATAGCATCACATTGACAAGCGTTAGCCTTAATATGGCGTCTATGAACTTGGCCTGGACCGGTCATTAAAATGTAGGTGTGAAAGTAGCTATATGTATTCAACACATACAAGGCGAATTGAATAAGTAGTTCTAAAGGCTATGCGGCTGTGGTGATGGCGAGCGCATGGTGCGATGGTGGATCAGGGTGAATAGCGGGATGTTCTGGGTAAAAGGAGTCCTGTGGAGCCGTCATCTGTCTGTCTGCCCATACATCTGTCTGCCTGTCCGCTGCTCGACCCGGTGCTTCGGTGCTCGTTTCTCTCTCTCTTTTTCTTTTCTCTTGCTGAGCCTCTCTGACGCCGGCTGTTTGCTCCACAGGGGGACGAGTTAAAACCTGGAAGAGGAGGTGGTTCATCCTCACAGACAACTGTCTGTACTACTTTGAGTACACCACAGTGAGTACAGCTCACTTTTCTCAGGCCCCCCAGAGAATCATCTGCGCCCTCTGCACACCGTCTCTCACATATTTCAATATTTGTCCAGGACAAAGAGCCCAGAGGAATCATCCCACTGGAGAACCTGAGCATCAAGGAGGTGGAGGATAAGAAGCCTGTGAGTACAGCTCCCTCTATGGGTTCCTCCTGGGATTACACTCACAGTAATTGACTGCTTGATGGGCAGTTGCATTTACACACACAACCATATTAGCAGCCAGTAACTTACTCACCACATTATATGAAGCAGTATATGAACAGTGTGCCATAAAGAGGGATTTCATGAGCTAATAGTTTATTGCCTTTTTGATGAATACAGTTATTCTTGTCTTGGCATCACTTCTAACCTGCATCCTCTTCACTTCTGCAGAACTGCTTCGAGCTTTTCATTCCCGACAACAAGGACCAGGTGATAAAAGCGTGCAAGACCGAGGCTGACGGACGCGTGGTGGAGGGCAACCACACCTTCTACCGCATCTCGGCCCCCACTGCTGAGGAGAAAGAGGAATGGATGAACAGCATCAAGTAAATGGTTTTTCTCCTTCACTCAGCATAAGGGTTGGAAACTCCACATTCAAATTGCAGTAATTAACTCTACACATAAGTATCTTCGCCTCACAGCTCTCCCAGCGTGCCTCCTCTTCATCTCTCTTCCATGGTTGTAGATTATCCAGAGCACTTCCTTCTAAGTATGTAAAAAAAAAAAAATACTGTCTGGTATTGCAGATGCTATTTCTACAACCTAATTGGACTTAAATCACACACGTTCACACATAAATCACAATAAAAACTGAAAAAGGGATCCCTACTTTCATGAAAATGCACCACGTCTAACATTACAGTCCCGCATAAGTGCAGCAATTTGCACACTTGCGCCGTTCTGCTCGCTGACGTTGTCCTTTGCATCTGTTCCCACAGAGCCGCCATCAGCAGGGACCCCTTTTACGAAATGCTGGCAGCCAGGAAGAAGAAGGTGTCGTCCATGAAGAGGCACTAGAGCTGCTCAGCACTCCAGATGTTGCACTTGACAGAGCAGAAGGGGGTCCCGGCATCCGCAGACGCCGAGGCTGAGGTCTGCCTCAGACCTCTCCGGGGGATTTCTCTAGGATACATACTAGGACTGGCTTTGGGCCCCTACAGGCCAGAACAATGGGAAGCATGCTGGGGTTTCTAGATGAGTCGTGGCCGAAGCGTCTTCTTAACCTCCCGTCTCTCTTTCTCCGTCAGCTTCGTGTGCTCTCTGTCTATGAGGTCGTAAAGGAAAGCTCGCTGTGTATCTCGGCAAAATCCTCTTTGAAGATGCTTTAAAAAAAACTAACACAATTCCCATACACATTGTGCACATTGTGCAAACGCTCATGCCGCTCCCCAGTAGCACCCATCGTTTTAAACTCAGCAGGTCTGACCAAGTGTGGCACTTCAACCAAAATGTTCCTCGCTTTTCAAAAAGAAAAGACCTTTTCTGATGTGCTTTAATACGTTACGGTAATACGTGTCTATTTTTACAGCTTTAAATGTCAATTCATCTTAAAGTCTTGTTTGTTTGCTTTTGTAGAAAATGAAAGGTCTCTCGAGGGAGGGTGTGGGAGGGAGGGAGGGAGGGTTTGATTCGCCAACGTTTGTTATTTTATAGAAAAAAGAAAAGAAAAACTTGAAAAAAAAAGTTGCCACTCAGGAGATTGTTATGATGTTCTGAAACTTTCCGTGTGTCGGCGTTGGCGAGGATTCTGTTCACAACACGACAGCCATGTGAGGCACGAAAGCCGTGTGCCAGACTGAACTGCTTTTGTAAATGTGACGCGGCTGCAGACGGCGGTGTCTGCTAGTCTGGACGGGGTCTTCGTGTTTGATCTGGCTCTCACTGTTAATTTCCTGAAGGTCCTGGAGATGCATCCTGGGGATTAGAGTACTTTTTAAAGGGATGAGTGTTCATCACCCTGGGCTTCTTTTTGAGGTCTTAGGTTGTCTGGAAATTAGAACTAGTGGCCCCCTTTTTTAATTTCTCCTCCTATACATTTTCTCTTATTTTGTTTCTAAACACAAAACCGCTTCCTGTTACTTAATTTCGTCGTCACTGCTGCACGGTGCCTGGCACTCGAGATGAAATGTGATGAGAAAAGCTGCTGGTTAGCGACCGTAATTCACAGATTTCTTCTCCCGGTCAAACATTTAATATTTGGTTTCCTGCCTTTTTAATTAGTTTTCTTTGTAGAGGGTTACCTATTTAATGGTAAAACAAATCACATGTCATTTCCAGCCGTCGGCCCGACCCCATTGATAGTTGTACTGTGTGCTTCAGGTTCTTTATGTATAAGACATAATATATGACATATTGTTGTAGAGGCTTTAAAGCGGTGTGGTTCATTGGAGCTATGCCTGGACAAGAATGGGCTGTCCCCGTCTCAGGATCCAAAGTGTGATGTGAAACAATACAGAACTACTAGTCGTCTGAGGAACGCACTGTGGTCAACCATACGATGGAGGTCAGGATGGATGGTTGGTCACACCGAGGCAGTGATGCGTCATTTTGTCAGATAGCAACTATCAAAAAAAAAAACTGCGTTGAGGTACAATTTTTGCAAACGCAGCCCTGAGTTGTTCATCTTTTCTACTCTGGTCTACAGTCTCTCATCTGTGCCTGCTGGTCTCTATCCTCACTCTGCTCCTCTCAGCGCACTGATCCTACAGAAACACGGAAGAATGCAAAACAATCATAATTCTAGACAGTATTGCTTTATTTATCAGAGTTGTACATACTTAAATGTATAGTGGGTATTTTGTCCTCATTTTGTTTCTTATTAGTTGTGACATTTTCTTTTGGTATTCTGTTCAATGTTTGATTTGAGGTTTGTATCATTGCCATTTAATCAAGCTAAAATAAAGACAACTTTGTCCCAACGCTGGCTGAGAGTCTTTTAAACAACTGCACGTCCGCTCATGTTACATCCGTACAGTAACGCCAGCAGGTGGCAGTATGTGATAAGCACTGTCGAGGCATCCTGCTAAATGTTAACGACTACAGCTAACAAGGAAGTTGAACATGTTTTGTTTTTCTTGCTGCCTGTTAATTACAGCAGAATCTTGTCCAATCAATCACAAATTAGATTATGGGTTAGGTGAGGCCAGCATGCTGTATGCCCATGAATACTGAAGACTACTTCCACTTGAAATTGAATCATTCCCGCTCTGTTTTGACAAAATGCACAACTTTCCAGAGTTTGAATTATTTCAACCACATTTACCCTCTTTAAAAAAAAAAATCTCTTGTTTCTGTTTCAATCCAGCCTTTATTTACAGCTTCACAACATTTCATATCTTTTCACAAGCTTGCTTTTAAAGTATTTATGACACAACTGTCGAGGCAGCAGGGAGAGGTCGATATTTACAAGTGAATGTGTATCATATTAAATGATGCCTGGAAAAGCAATCAATAGAAATGACTTCTTCTCAATGGAAGAAACCGACTGAAATGCAGTTGAAAATACACATTCACGGTTAGTGTCTACTGAGCCTCTCTCAGATATTGCGGGTTATATTGAATTACTTTATGAAAAATATTTTACCTTGATGTTTTCATTCATGCAGTCCGCACAAATTTGCTGACACAAACAAATCAGCTTTTCAGCATCTTAAATGTGTAACTGACATTGAAAGCAGTTTGGGGTAAAAGCACTTTGTAGTTGCACAAATCGGCTTCAGTCACCATTGAATATTCACAGTTAATGCTTAATTGCACAGACACATGCGTTGTAGTTGCAGAGGCCCCTGGGTAATGTTGAACTGGTAGTTAGTACAGTGGTAAAGTAAAACGGGTCTGTCTTGTGAATGAATACCTGACTTTATTCAAGTTGAGGCGTGTTTATCTGAGCGGAGAATTGCTTTCAAAGCCCTTTGATCTGTGAAAGATGAGAAAATCCTTCTTCCCAGCAAAACCAAATTATGCCCGAAATTCGAGAGTAAATGAATAGGTGTTTATTTTCGTCTGGGCCATAGTCTGCAGTGTTTTTTTGGGGGGGGGGGGGATATGGCAACAAATTCTTAAACAGTTTGTTCCAGATGTGCATTGAAATGCTATAATAAAAAGGCGTTTGTAAACCAAAGATTCTTGCTGTGCATCTGCGCATTCAGATATTTAACAAATCGAGTTTTGGCGGATTGGAAATAGACCGCACTCTTTATTTGTGCAACTGCAGTAAAACAATATTTTTCACTGCTGCTGTAAAACGGGATGACAACGACGTTTTTGAGAATTACAGAGCAGGGCCAAGGAGGCGACCGTGACTGATGGGAAACGAGAGGCACATTGCCACGGCAAGAGGGGAAAAAAAACAGTGAAAAGAAGTTCGAGAATGTGTGGTGGTGGTGAGGCGGCAGCAGCAGCAGGGTACGCTTTGTTTTTCACCATCTGCGCTGTTCTTCACTTCTCGTCTTTCTCACTGCAGCGGGAATACACAGGCACATGAAAAGACAGTGTACTTTTACGTCTTGTGTTGTGAGTTTAACGTACGTGCTAAGGAGAACGTGATACACTCTAAAGTTGTGTGTGTGTGGGGGGGGAGATTTCATCAGTCCTGACTCAGAATGAGTTAAGAGGGAACAACAGGAGGAAGGTACATGTTCTGCAGGGAGAGGATATTCTTGGAACAAGCTGTACGTTCGGTTGCATCAAGGTCAAATATTGTTTTAAATAAAGATAATGGGAAGCTCAGTGTAGTCTACCTGACCACACTGCACTGAGACAGCCCAGACCACACCGCTCAGTCATGCTGTCATGTCAGGCCTTCTTGGTGAATTCACTACTGTGTGGTTATGCTGATGAAGGGGAAAAGGCACGGGTCTGCTGCGGCTCTCATAGGCGCAGGCAGTGGGATCCTCCGTCTCCTGCAGTAAGTGGAGACATGTGAGGCTCCAATTAGGCCCAGACTGTTTCCCAGAAGCACTGGAGGCCTCCCCCTGCCTCTCAGCCCACCGCGGCGGGGAGAAGGGTGCACCCCACGGTGTCCAGTCCTGACCTCAGCTGGCATGAGGAGGGCCCTTTCTCGTACGGGGCTCATGCAGGCAAAAGAATGTTGCACACAGGCTGGCGTGTGGTGTGTGCACACCAACACGCAAAGGTAATGCAACACAGCCACGGTGGACGTTTTCAAAACCAGTTCACAGCTGCGTAACGTTTGCTTCAACAGGTTTCTCGGTTTTGTTTTGCATACAATTTTACAAGTTCATTTAAGACGGGTGGTGCTTTGAAGTCGGCACTTTAAAGATAGAAGCTGCATATCGTGTGAGTCATGCTTGTTCTTATCAAGCTGTCAGGCCGATTCAGAAAACAGCATCCCATTAGATCTCCATTAACACTACTGTCATGTTTATACAGATACGAAAAACACTACTCATCAGACAGACTGGAGCCAAGTGCAGCTCAAACTCTTTTGAGGTGCTGTATATCAGCGTGTTTAAGGCGCATGTACACAGTTGCTGTGCTGACAGATGCATTGTTGCTTTACTGGAAGAATAAATCCTGCTCAGATCACTTTAGGAATCTCCTGCACTGCCGAGGAACACTGAATTCATCCTCTGGGAAGGATTTCTGAGAAAGGGAGTTAAAAAGACGACCACAACAAAGTCTTGCCCTCCCCTCCCCCCTTCAACTATCTCTCTCTCTCTCTCTCTCTGCTTCACGCACACTCATATAACCACGCAAACACCATATGTACAGTGTATTATGGCAGCTTAGCCAGCTGAGAGTGAGGTTAAAGCACTGATAGTGAAAAGCAGTAAAACTTGGGCTTGCGTTCAGTGCAGCGAGTAAAATACTGCTGGGATGTGGAAGATATCATTTACTGATTTGGTTCAAAGAATTTTCCCACAAACATGCTGTTGTGTAAGTTTGAAAAATCGCCCGCTTACAAAATGTTGCAAAAACATCGAATTAAAACTAGCTGGAGCAGAAAAGAAAAGAAAGATCTATGGCCTCACTTTAGTCTTTATTTTAAATGATGACACTGAATCGTACCTCAGGATGTTAAAGTGGTGAAAAAGGGGGCAGCTGCTGTTTGCGTGTTCATTTTTTTGGTGAATGGATAACTTTAGACCTGTGGTTAAAACATCCCTAATCTCTGTTCATATGAAATGCTCATATCATATCACTTTCCCTGCAGGACCTTTACTTATAAAAGACGTATGAAAACAAACAGGCTCTATCCTGTTACAACTCTTCTGGTTGAAACAGAAGCATGCTCGGATCCATGACTCAGTTGTAAACAGTCATGTGTAGCTAATAGAAAGTACTGGAAATGATTCAGCAGTTCGACACTGTAGTTACTGGCATTCTTGGATAATAAATAAGAAATAATTCAGCCACCTTAAATTTATATCTCGAGATCACATCAGTTAGATTTACTGGAAAAGAAGAATCAACTTTTGTTCTTGTGTGCAATATTATTGGTCATGAACTTGCTGATTCAGGGCGGCAGAATAACTGGCTGAACAAGACAAAAGGTTGTTTGTCCCAGTGGGAAAATGGTATTGTGGGATTTTTTTTTCTGCGTATTCATTGAACTGTGGGTGGCTCTTATTCTGGGAAACTTTTTCAATGTGGTGCGAAAAAAGGCACATTTCTTCCTGTGGGACTTTTACAATTTATCTCATGTCTTAAGGAGCTTCCTGTATATTAGCTCGTGTTGATTGCATATTATTCTGCAGCTGAGGGATTACAGGCATTGCAGATGTAGATTGATAAACTGGAGCGATTTCTGGAACCTGCAGATTGTTTGTTTACATGCAGGTCGAAGCTTGGGACAGACTGTACTCTCCTTCCAAGATTTCTAGTAAAAGATGGAAAAGGAGGCCGGGGTTTAGAGTGCCTCCAGAAGAATTTCCTGGCTACAGGGAGTGCCCGACTAGAAGGGGACAAAAGGAAATGCCTTGATAAGAGAAGGAGTGGGAGAGGCCTTCGGTCCTCTTTTCTAAACTCTGTTCCAGGACCAGTTTACCGCAGCATTTGAGGGTCAGAGTCAAAGTAAAAAGTGCCATTGAGCTTCTCTGTGTGCTGCTTGCAGTCAGAATACATATCTGACAGTGTAGGCGAAGCTGTGAAGACAGGGGCTCCCTCTGTTAGGCCTCTTGGGCACACTGAGTTGCTGTTTGCAGAGGTCACGAACCTCAATGTGTAGGAGTTGTACATCTAAAATGCAAAATGGGATTTATTGTAGCTGAAACAAACAGGTTTGAGCTGTAAAAGAAGAATAAATGCAAATATACTGACCAATAATACAGCTGCAATTTTATTAGAAGCAATCGCAAACACAGATGACTGAGATGAAAGAGCGCTGCTGTAACTCACTCCGTGCAGAAACACACCTGCGCCAGTAACAATGGGCTAACAATGGCTTTCAGTCATAGTTCCCTGACGTCATTGTGTCTGCCATGAAGACAGTTCGTGCAAAGTCATTGAAGGGCTCGTCATTCATTCAGCATGTGGAAGCATTTACTGATTGAGGGAATGGATCAAAGCTTTCCTTTGACTGATGCATCCTGGGTAGTATCCTCAAACATCTGCGACTGAGTCAGGCCCTTCAGACAATGTGGAGTATGAAGGAAAAAAAGTTACTTATCATCGAGGGATATACGTTTAACTCAAGTTCAGGCTCCCCTAGGTTTATAGGACATCTTCCAGGTAAATCCCCTCTGATCCTCCGAAATGTCCTTGTCCTCTGCCGGGCACACATCACAGGCCGCTGTGTCAGCACTCTTATCTGGACAGTAACCACAAAACCGATGTGTGAACGTTGCACATACACACTAAATCTATCCGGAAATGTCCGACTTACTGGCACAGCTCAGGATCAAGTTACTACTACTGTGTTATAGAGGAAGTGTGTGTGTCTCTGAGTTTCCATGTG